CCTCTCATGCAAGTGCTTCAGGATTGATTCTTTGAGGACCTGCTCCATGATTTTTCCAGGGACTGAGGTGAGGCTGACTGGCCTGTAGTTCCCTGGATCCTCCTCCTTCCCTTTTTTAAAGATTGGCACTACATTAGCCTTTTTCCAGTTATCCGGGACTTCCCCCGTTCGCCACGAGTTTTCAAAGATAATGGCCAATGGCTCTGCAATCACAGCCGCCAATTCCTTCAGCACTCTCGGATGCAACTCGTCCGGCCCCATGGACTTGTGCACGTCCAGCTTTTCTAAATAGTCCCTAACCACCTCTATCTCCACAGAGGGCTGGCCATCTCTTCCCCATTTTGTGATGCCCAGCGCAGCAGTCTGGGAGCTGACCTTGTTAGTGAAAACAGAGGCAAAAAAAGCATTGAGTACATTAGCTTTTTCCACATCCTCTGTCACTAGGTTGCCTCCCTCATTCAGTAAGGGGCCCACACTTTCCTTGGCTTTCTTCTTGTTGCCAACATACCTGAAGAAGCCCTTCTTGTTACTCTTGACATCTCTTGCTAGCTGCAGCTCCAGGTGCGATTTGGCCCTCCTGATATCATTCCTACATGCCCGAGCAATATTTTTATACTCTTCCCTGGTCATATGTCCAACCTTCCACTTCTTGTAAGCTTCTTTTTTATGTTTAAGATCCGCTAGGATTTCACCATTAAGCCAAGCTGGTCGCCTGCCATATTTACTATTCTTTCGACTCATCGGGATGGTTTGTTCCTGTAACCTCAACAGGGATTCCTTGAAATACAGCCAGCTCTCCTGGACTCCTTTCCCCTTCAAGTTAGTCCCCCAGGGGATCCTACCCATCTGTTCCCTGAGGGAGTCGAAGTCTGCTTTCCTGAAGTCCAGGGTCCGTATCCTGCTGCTTACCTTTCTTCCCTGCGTCAGGATTGTCAGGTCAACTTGTCCTTGTTGAACCTCATCAGATTTCTTTTAGCCCAATCCTCCAATTTGTCTAGGTCACTCTGGACCCTATCCCTACCCTCCAGCCTATCTAATTCTCCCCCCAGTTTAGTATCATCTGCGAACTTACTGAGGGTGCAATAAATCCCATCATCCAGATCATTGATAAAGATGTTGAACAAAACCGGCCCCAGGACTGACTCCTGGGGCACTCTGCTTGATACCGGCTGCCAACTAGACATTGAGCCGTTGATCACTACCCATTGTACCAGACAATCTAGCCAGCTTTCTATCCATTTGATAGTCCATTCATCCAATCCATACTTTTTTAACTTGCTGGCAAGAATACTGTGGGATACCATATCAAAAGCTTTGCTAAAGTCAAGATATATCATATCCACTGCTTTCCCCATATGCACAGAGCCAGTTATCCATCCTGGAAAGCAATCAGGTTGGTCAGGCATGACTTGCCCTTTGTAAATCCATGTTGACTATTCCTGATCATCTTCCTCTCCTCCAAGTGCTTCAGAATGGATTCCTTGAGGACCTGCTCCATGATTTTGCCAGGACTGAAGTGAAGCTGACCGGTCTGTAGTTCCCTGGGTTCTCTTTCTTCCCTTTTTTAAATATGGGCACTATATTTGCCTTTTTCCAATCATCTGGGACCTCCCCCGGTCACCACAAATTTTCAAAGATAATGGCCAATGGCTCTGCAATCACATCAGCCAACTCCCTCAGCAACCTTGGATGATTAGATCTGGACCCATGGACTTGTGCACGTCCAGCTTTTCTAAATGGTTCTTAACCTGTTCTTTCACCACTGAGGGCTGCTCACCTCCTCCTTATACTGTGCTGCCCAGTGCAGCAGTCTGGGAGCTGACCTTGTCTGTGAAGACTGAGGCAAAAAAAGCATTGAGTACTTCAGCTTTTTCCACATGATCTGTCACTATGTTGCCTTCCGCATTCAGTAAGGGTCCGACACTTTCCCTGATCTTTTTTCTTGTTCCTAACATACCTGTAGAAACCCTTCTTGTTACCCTTCACATCCCTTGCTAGCTGCAACTCTGATTGGCCTTCCTGATTACACCCCTGCATGCTCTAGCAATATTTTTATACTCCTTCCTAGTCAGCTGTCCAAATTTCCACTTCTTGTAGGCTTCCTTTTTGAGTTTAAGCTCACCAAAGAATGGTTATAACGCTGAACTTTAAAAATTTCTAGACAGTTCAAACTCAACCTCAGGAATGTAGTTCTTCAGTCATCCATTATTTTCCTTTCATGGCTAATTTTACTTACTACTTCTGGCTCACACAGCAATCTGACCTTTCAGAAATGAGAATTTGAGAATCATCTTCCCCTGTTTTATAGCTACTTGCTGCATTACTTAGGAGAGTGCTTTTTTGCCAGTTCACCATGTGTCAATAAGTTCAGCCTAACCATAGCTTAATTTGTTGTTCTGCTTTTGTCAATCAGTCTGAACTGAAGCTTGCATGGCAGCCAGCCCTTTTTGGTTTAGTTGCTGTACTCTGAGCAGTCTCACGAGCATGGCTCAAGGTGACCCACTAATGATAGTTTCTATAAAAGCTTCTCTGTACAATTACAAAGCAAGCGTCACTAAATGCAGCTTCTAGCAATTTCAGCTAATTCTGAGTTCAGCCACTCAAGAAGCACACAAAATGAAGGTTTCTCAAAGAGTGAAAGGTAATTTTTTTTTTTTTTTTTACAAATGCATGTGAGGGTATCCAATGGAAGTTAACGACTAAGTTCCTCTGGCAAATCACAGATCATTCTTTTAGGAGAAGTGAGATAAAATGGCAGAGCTACTAAATGGAGGGGTTTTTTTAAGTGTCAGATTGTATCTGCAACTAAGTATAACTCATGAGGGAAGGTGAGAAGCAAAGTGTTTATGTCCATAAACAGAGCAGGTGGCTAACAGTATCAACACATGGATCAATAACTGGGTAGAAGTCTGTTATTAACAAAGCCTTGATCTGCATATATACAGTACAATAGGGTTACAAGGTTTCATCAAACATCATTTGGAGCCAGAATTAGATTGCACAGTTTCTTTAGATAATTGTCCCTTTCTGATTCCGGGCCTAAACCCACAATCCCTCATGATTACAGGAACAGGTCTCTATTTCCTAAATAACCCAGCTGAAATCCTCTCCTGTGCGCAGGGCCAGCATATGGCCTATGCACCATCTAATTCCCACATCAGCCTTATTTTTGAGGTCTTCAGTGATGCACAGGCATGGTGCTGACGCTCTCGGCAGGGGTGAATTTCATCCCTACTCCATTAAGTAGGAACTTGTCATTCTGATTTCAAAATACGACATTGTGGAATTGTAGAATTATAGATGGGAAAAGGGGTATGGATCCAAAGGAGTTCAAAGCAATTACACCACAGATCTATGAACCACACAACCAAGTTTATCTACCATTCTCTGAGACTTAAAATCACTGTGCCTTATCGTCCTACTTTGGCTCTGTGGGGATTAGCAGAGTAATTACTGTAATATTTTATAAAATTACTGCCTTAACCTTCCAAGTTTATAATCCTTCTCTGATATGCATATATTGTACCTGGAAGATCATAGAGAGGACACTGGGATAGTACATTTCAGAACTGTATTTTATTAATATCCTGGCCAATAGTTGTCAATCCTTTATTGTTATAAAAGTAAGTATATAATGTAACTAGTGAACAGTGATATACATAGAAGTGGCATGTACTGGTTTTTGGAATAGAATACTTTATTTACATTACTTCATCTCTGTTGAAAAAGAAATTCTGTATGTTCCCCCTGCTATTGTCTGAAAGTCAGATGGGTGCTTTGGGGAATGCCACAAGTTCTGTTTGTTTGCCAGCATGTTTTTCTGATATAAAACTTAAATATGGGCCCAACTGGAATTTCCCTAAGGAGGGGGCCCAGACCTCTCGCCAGCCCCACACTCTTCCCCCTCCCGCCTCCCAGCCCCGAGCTCTCTCATGCTGCCTTTGCACCAAAAACGCATGCTGTCCTCTCTGCACCCACAGCTCCACACACTCCTCCTGCTGTCCCCCACCCAGCCATGAGCTCTCCCCACTGCACCCAGCCCTGCAGTCTCCCTGCCCCACACCCAAACCCATGGTCTCACACGGAGAGATGGTCAGGCTGACAGACAGCATCCCCAGGAGGGGCCAGGCATTTCTGGGAGCCCTTGACTACATCCTCTGTCTGCATCTCCACTTCCCCAGGAAGCATCAAAAGCCCAGATCCAATCTTCCAAACCCTCCTGGAGGCTGAGATGCCCAGGTCCCGCTCCTCCGCTCCTCCCAGAGGCTAGGGGTGCCTGTTGCCCATGGCCCTGAAAGGACTGCAAAGGGGGAGGGGGGGCACACAGGATTGCAACACCACTGAAATTTGGCCTGGCTGCCCCTCCATCATGCCTGCTGGGAAGGGGCTCTGTTGCTGCGCTACCCAGCTCTGGTCAGCAGCCGGGAGGGATCCTGAGCCTCCCGCCCCTCCCCTTTGCACCCTGCATTTAAAGAAACCTGAACCAGTCAGATAGGAAGTGGGATTTAGGCTGTGTTGACATTTCACATGGCAGCATTTTTAAACCCATGAGAATGGATTCGTTACAGGTGAAATTCCCTGTAATCCAGAGGGCCAGTGTGCTGCTAGCACCCCACATTAAGGGATGAACAGAGTCTAATATGAACCCTCTGCACGCTCAGTTTTACCCATTTTCTATTATGTGTTGGCTTCAGCAATAGGACATCAGCCTGCTGCTAGCTGGACAGCTGCTTTTCTTCCTTAAACTAAGTGTGAGGGTCGAGGTTTGATGCCTGACTGTGTGCGCTGAGATTTCTGTGGAAGAGCGTGCTCATCCCTGGGAAGTGCTGAAGTCTTTAGATCGTTAAAGAGCAGGACAGTGGCTGTTGTGCTGACCCTAACCATGTGCAATCATCAGTGTTCTTACACGGCCCCCAAGGAAGGTGTAGGATAAGTAGAGTACTGGTTTTAAAAAGGCTTTCAAATGACATTAATTGTCTTCTTCTTTGTCTTTCTTCCAGCTCCAGTCAATCCGCACTTAAGTAAGTATTTTTATCCTTTGCTGCACTTCATCATTGGAAGAATTAGATTTGCATTAATTGTTGCTTCATGGTTGTGCAATAAATGGGCAGCATTTCATTTTCAGCTGTGGTCCATGGATTCCATAAGGTCCATTTTAATTCTGTCACACATGACTGCACTTGTTTGTGGTAGGAGACTGGGACTTTTTTAAATTTCCAGTTGCTGAACAAACAGTACTCAGATCAAGAGAAGATTGCGGCTGCTGGGCATACCCCTCCCCCTGTGTCCCAAACCGATGAATAATCCCTAAGGAAAAGGCACATATGTTTTCAAAGGTCCTCCAGGTGGCAGTTCCCAGGAAGTTACTGTGATCCAACTCATCACAGTAGAACCCCCCTGGGAGCTGCCACCTGATGTGCCCAGACTACTTCTGCCCCTGCTTTCCTGCCCTGGCAGCTTAGGAGTTCAGTGTCCTGCCTGGCTTGAGCCAGACCCGCTAGCCTGCTGCAAACCCAGACCCAGGTCTGAACCATGTCCCCTAACAACTGTAGGCTTAACTGAAAGCAGCTTACAGAAGTGTTCCTGTCTTTGACACTCAGATGCCCAACTCCCAATGGGGTCCAAACCCTAAATAAATCCGGTTTACCCTGTATAAAGCTTATACAGGGTAAATTCATAAATTGTTCACCCTCTATAACATTGATAGAGAGATATGCACTGCTATTCCGCCCCCCCCCCCCAAGTATTAATTAAGACATTGTAGACAACCCGTTGGGGGGAGGGATAGCTCAGTGGTTTGAGCATTGGCCTGCTAAACCCAGGGTTGTGAGTTCAATCCTTGAGGGGGCCATTTAGGGATCTGGGGCAAAAATTGGGGATTGGCCCTGCTTTGAGCAGGGGGTTGGACTAGATGACCTCCTGAGGTCCCGTCCAACCCTGATATTCTCTGATTCTATGTGTTTAAATAACCAAAGAAAAGTTGTTTTCAATGAGCTGGAGGAGATAGGGTGGAAGGCACAGTGAAATCACAGAATCATAGAAGATTAGGGTTGGAAAAGACACCAGGAGGTCATTTAGTCCAACCCTTTGCTCAAAGCAGGACCAACCCCAACTAAATCATCCCAGCCAGGGCTTTGTCAAGCTGGAACTTAAAAACCTCTAAAGATGGAGATTCCACCACCTCCCTAGGTAACCCAGTCCAGTGCTTCACCATTGTCCTAATGAAATAGTTTTTTTCTAATATGCAACCTACACCCCCACCACTGCAACTTGAGCCCATTACTCCTTGTGCTGTCATCTGCCACCCCTGAGAACAGCTGAGCTCCATCCTTTTAGGAACCCCCCCTTCAGGTAGTTGAAGGCTGCTATCAAATCCCCCCACCCCATTCTTCTCTTCTGCAGACTAAATAACCCCAGTTCCCTCAGCCTCTTCTCGTAAGTCATGTGCCCCAGCCCCCCAGTCATTTCAGTTGCCCTCTGCTGGACTCTCTCCAATTTGTCCACATCCTTTCTGTACTGGGGGGACCAAAACTGGATGCAGTGCTCCAGGTGTGGCCTCACCAGTGCCGAATAGAGGGGAATAATCATTCCCTCGATCTGTGGGCAGTGCTCCTACTAATGCAGCCCAATATGCCATTAGCCTTCTTAGCAACAAGGGCACACTGTTGACTCGTATCCAGCTTCTCATCCACTGTAATCCCCAGGTCATTTTCTGCAGAACTTCCACTATGTCAGTCAGTCCCCAGCCTGTAGTGGTGCAAGGGATTCTTTCAGCCTAAGTGCAGGACTCTACACTTGTCCTTGTTGAACCTCATCAGATTTCTTTTGGCCCAATCCTCCAATTTGTCTAGGTCACTCTGGACCCTATCCCTACCCTCCAGGGTATCTACCTCTCCCCCCAGCTTAGTGTCATCCACGGACTTGCTGAGAGTGCAATTAATCCCATCATCCAGATCATTAATGAAGATGTTGAACAAAACCGGCCCCAGGGCCGACCCCTGGGGCACTCCACTCCACTGCCAACTAGACATCGAGCCATTGATCACTACCCATTGAGCCTGATGATATACCCAGCTTTCTATCCATGTTGTAGTCCATTCATCAAATCCAGACTTCTTTAACTTACTGGCAAGAATACTGTGGGAGACCATATCAAAAGCTTTGCTAAAGTCAAGGTATATCACAACCACTGCTTTTCCCATATCCTCAGAGCCAGTTATCTCATCATGACTTGCCCTTGTTGAATCTAATATCTATGTATACAGTGGTGTTGTAGCCATTTCGGTCCCATGATATTAGAGAGACAAGGTGGGTGAGGTGATATCTTTTATTGGACCAGTTTTTGTTGATGAGAGAGACAAGCTTTTGAGCTACCCAGAGCTCTTCTTCAGCTCTGGGAAATTTAGCTGTGACACTGAGTCTCTTTAGTGAATATCTCGTTATTTGTACCAGTGATTTTGAAAAACTGTGATCATTTATTGGATGAGATGCTCAAATAGCTGAAAGCAGAGCTTTCTTGCTGTTTCTCCAAAGGCGAAGCAAGCTAACGTTATAAAAGGATGTTACTAAGCTGAAATCCATAGACATTTCCTTATGGTGGTAATATTTGATGAAATATCCCACTAGTGATACTTGACAAAAATAAATCTCAATAAGCATTTTGGCTGTGTGTTGAGCTTTAGGGGCTCCTGTGGCAGACTGAATAAGAGGGAAACTGCTACGGGCAATGAGAAACATACCTTTTATTGCCCAGACATCGTGTTTAGTAAGGTGTGCAGAAATACAGCTGGAAACAGAAGGAAGTATTTCAGGCCCATCAGTATTACTGCTATCAGTCAACTACAATGGGAGCAAAACTGGTTCTCAGCTACTGTGAACAGTTCAAGAATCATAGAATCATAGAAGATTAGGGTTGGAAGAGACCTCAGGAGGTCATCTAGTGCAACCCCCTGCTCAAAGCAGGAACAACCCCAAGTAAGTCATCCCAGTCAGGGCTTTGTCAAGCCAGGCCTTGAAAACCTCTAAGGATGGAGATTCCACCACCTCCCTAGGTGACCCATTCCAGTGCTTCACCACCCTCCTAGTGAAATAATGTTTCCTAATATCCAAGCTAGACCTCCCCCACTGCAACATGACCATTGCTCCTTCTTCTGTCATCTGCCACCACCGAGAACAGCCTAGAATACAGAATACAAGAGAACCTCAGAGTTGCAAACACCTCAGGAATGGAGATTGTTTGTAATTCTGAAATGTTTGTTAACTCTGAACAAAATGTTATGGTTCTTCTTTAAAAAGTTTTCAACTGAACATTGACTTAATATTTAAAACATTGAAACTTTACTATGCAAAAGAAAAATGCTTTTAACCATCTTAATTTAAATGAAACAAGCACAGAAACAGTTTCCTTACCTTGTCAAGTCTTTTTTAAAACTTTCCCTTTCTTTTTTCAGTAGTATACATTTAACACGGTATTTGCTTGTACTCTACTGCACACTTGTACTGCATTTGCTTTTGCTTTTTTTTTTTTTTTTTTTTTTTGTCTCTGCTGCTGCCTAATTGCATACTTCCGGTTCCAAATGAGGTGTGTGGTTGACCAGTCAGTTAATAACTCTGGTGTTCATAACTCTGAGGTTCTATTGTAGATGACTCAACACTTTAAATCTGTTTGCTGATGATCCCGTCTAGTGTGTTAATAATTAGGGCAGAATGGAAAGACTTCTATTGAATTAGCATTTAATCAGCCCTTCGTTGACTACATATATATTTAATTTATTAAGAAAATATTTAATAGCATTCCCAGGTGCATTAAATTACATATGTCTCAAATTTTAAAGATTAAAATTTCTTTCCTTCTTTTCTTCTTTCATGGCAAATTTATTGTTCAGTTAAAGGACCCAGATTAACAGTCCTAGACATTAAGTCCTCTGTCTACAGTACAGTTTCAATGTGGGAAACGTCAGAGCTGCATTAGTAAGAAGGATCACTTTGAGCAGTGAGAGGGGGTATTTCATTGCCCTACCCATACCCATGCCCTTGGTCTGTCAGGATCAGCTTCCAACTGTGCTAGTGAAGATGGGGAAACATGTCAGTCAAGAACTGGAGTGAGCCCATCCAATCATTTTACTGAGGCCTGGGCTACACTAATGCTGTAATTCGACCTAAATTACGCTAGTTAAGTTACATAAGTAATGTAACTTAAGTCGACGTGCCTTAGTTCGATTTACAACGGTGTCCACACTACTCTGTGTCAACGGGAGACACTCTCTGGTGACATAGCTTCTGCCTCTAGGTGAGGTGGATTACAAACGTTGACAAGAGAGTGCTCTCCCATCGACTTAGCTTGTCTTCACCAGATGCACTAAATCGATGCTGCTGCATTGATCGCATCAGCGCCAAGTGTAGTGTAGACATGGCTACAGAAAAGCCATCAGTGGTAACAACTTTAGGTCAGTAATATCTGGGGCAAAATGCCTCGCCCTTCTGAAGTCAATGACAAAATTTTCAGTAGGGCCAGGCCTTCATCCTTTAGATGGATTCAAACTAGTAAACTAGAGATAAAAGATTCTGTATTCCATTACGCACATTATCTTTGTTTTCTAGATCTCGTCTTATTTATCTCACAAGTGTCAATTTAAAGATGCTGTCTATCTGTCTCTCTGTGTAAATAAACCACCAAAACCCTGTGTTCATAGACAACTAAGAATTGATTTAAAACCCAGGAAATTCTGCCCCTTACTTTAACTTGATGGGCCTGATTCTGTGTAAATCAAGAGTAGTCAGTGGAGTCACCCTGGATAAAACTGATTTGTGTGAGACCAGAATCATTCGCTTCATGCATAAATTCTGCAGCATGCAAATGACATAAAATGATTCCTTATTATGAGACTTCTGAAATAGCTAAATGAGCATTTCCAATGGGTTAAAGACTGAGATTTAGCCTTAAATCTGTATTCCCTTTCTTTTGTGAGTTTATTAAAGACTGTTGTCTTGATATGTGCATGTAACTCCCATTAATGTAAACAGAAGTTATGTTTGAATAAGGAAAGAGATTGGAATATAAATATTCATATTTAAATGTGGGTCTTATGAGGGAATGGATGACATGAGGGATTAATGATAGAATGCAGAGCATTTTGTCTTGAGGATGCATTTTCACATTTGGCCCTGATTAGCCGTGAAACTAATTAATGGCCTCAATCCAGTTTCTAAATTGCCATGTGCTTGTAAAATAAAATCTACCACCCTATTGGTGCTGTTGACCAGAGGCCCATGACCTGATCCTGAATTATAAGGCTAGATTAATATATACATATTGCAAAAGTGCTTCTAATAATTGTGAGTGAAGCCAATATGGCTGAGATGTAAATAGGAGGGCGTAAAGTATGAATATGTATGTTAAGTGAGGCTTGGAATATGCTGAGGCCTACTGAGGTGTGTTAGGCATACATTTGTTAGCATGGTATTATTGTGTGAACGAAGGTTACTGAATGATATATGGCAGCTGCACCTTCCCTACACCAAAGGCAGCATGGGGTATGGTAAGCAGAGATGCAGGAGCCTGAGGTGAGCTTGATCCCAGCGTTTCCACCTGTGGGGCCCAGCCCAGCGAGGTCCTGGGGCATCAGGGGGCTGGAGGTTGTAAAATTTAGTAATGTGTATCTTGTTGCAGTTTAGCAATGCATTTTGTGGTAAACAGGTAAACCACAAACAGATGGTAGCATCTCAGGGGCTTTTAGCAATTAGAGCTAACCACATATACCAAAACTATTGGGAAAGGGACGGATGCGAGTGGCTGGCTTAACTGTTGGAAATATGACTATGGTCAATTGAAATAACACGTGTAGACAGGTGGAACCCTAACGCTGGTCTCCTGGAATACTCGCGATGAATAAGGGCTGAGACTTGATCAGATATGGCCCCAGATGTATGTGGGTGGAATGGAGAAAGGTGTATAAAAGTTTGTCAAACCAAGCCCTAGTGGGGAGATCCAGAATGACAGTGGAGGTGACATCCAAAACCATCATCTCCTCTTGTGGTGTGCGCCACTGGCTGTTTCTTCCATCTTTGTTTCTAACGGTCTCCGAAAGGTTGTAGGTATGCATAGTGTAAGACTGTAAGTATGAACAATGCGGGAAACTACTTTACTGCAATTCTCTGATTCTTATACTTATGTATTTGGTTTTTATATTATTTCAATTATAGTCTGTGTTAACTCAAGCTCATAAAATTTCTGTGTGTGTTTCACCAATCTCATCTTCTTAATTAGCACCAAATAGCCACCTGAGTAAAAGAACCTGTTCTTTGTGACAGGTGCACTTTGCAACCGAAATTAACTCCAGGCTACAGTGCTGAATGGCTCCTTTATTGATGCTCTTAGAAGATAGGACAAAATTTAAATGGACTTAAAGACCTATTCAGCCAGACAGGACTGTGTGGGGATGCACAGACTGCCAGCACTCACGATATACCTCTTTAATGGATGAATAAAGGACGGTGACGATCTGTTCAAAAACTCTTGAATTCACAGACAGGAAATGTGCAGATCTAACATCTCAAGTTATTTCCATGTTTATACTTTTGTCTATTTGTTTATATGTATATAGAGTCAAAGATACTTGGCACCAGTCCTTTCCAATTTATTCCAAATGCCTGAGTCCCATTTGCAGCTGACCCTGTGTTAAATAAATGGCAAACTTGTGCCTACTTTTTCATCGGGCCTGAAATTTGTTTTTGCTCTCTCAAAGGAAAAAAGCTTTTAATCTGCTGATGTGGAATTTCTAAATGAACCTTCTGCAGCATGCTTCAAAGTGCAAATGTAGCCTTTAAACTACTGCAGCACAGTTAGAAATGGCAAGACGGATGGTGAAGCTGACTTTGGGTTTAACTCAGCTTGTTGTAGGAGCTGGATCAGATTTTACTCATTTTCCACTCTGGTTAGCTGTCATGTAAGCAATATTTCATCGCTGAATTGTATCACTCTGTGCAGGAATAGCGCGTGTAGGGTACTGACAACTCTGAGTTTCCATCTGCGGAGCTCGCTATTAATGGGACACTTTGGGTCAGTAGAGAGGGGAGATGGCCCACACCGCAGACCCCACAAGTGACAGTGGGTTTGGGCCACAAAACCCGTGGCTTGTCTGAGATCTGCTTGGATGTTTGGGCAGATGAAAGGGGCCACTTTTAGCTCTCTCATCAGCATGAGTCCTGTTGTCAGGACACCCCTTTAACCACAACTGCCCCTTGAATCACCTCAAGGGGGGGGTTGTGGGAGGAGCCAATGCAAATTAATGCCAATTTGATCTGAATTAACTTGTTCTGTAGCATTAGCTTGTCCTGCAGGTTTTGTAGGGGGTATCCTAGTGGAAGTGTTACCAGTCCCACCCCAGTCCTCCAAGGCACCTGCTAGCAACACCCTCTCCTTTGATCACAATGTAGACAAGGATCAGAGGCTGCAGTTTCCATCCATCTGTCATATTCCTAAGGCAGTTCAGCACCTTGAGAGCTATAGTAAGGGTTTGTCTAAGTGGAGGGGAGCCCAATGTACACATCAGGATATTATATGGAACAGGCTATTTTAATATTGGATTGGTGCAAAATACATTTCTAAAGGTGACACGCTCCGCTTCTATTTTGTTCATAGATCTTCATCTGCACCGCACTTCTTTCATGAGCTTTGTCGGTGTCACTGTGTACTCTTTTGTGAGCTAAGAAATAAAGCAGCAGATGCTAATCTGCATCAGTTCACACACATCATTATTCAGGTTATTGGATTCCACAGAGTGTGTAACTGTTTTTCAGATTTCTTCTCCGTTGTGCTTGTGACAGTGCTCATGTATTTAATGATTTTGTATATTATAAGTTTTCCCTTAAATTATACTCCAAAATGATGTGTGCGGGGGGAGGGTTTCATAATTAAACAAATGTACAGTTGACTGTCAGTCATACTGATGGTGAACAATCCTTTCAGGCCAACTGAGGGATGGTGCTTTAGTTAACTTGATTCTTACAGTCAAATGGTGATGATTCTACTCAAGTCAGTGGATTTATCTGAGAAAAGAGGTAAATCTGATCATTGTTCTGAGGGAGTAGACATATGTGTCTGGGATAACCTGGTTTTGTAGAGGAATGTTTCATGCTCAGCACCACAAAGTAGACACTTTTCTTTCAGTCCTCCTAGCCTAACCAGAAATGGGATGAGGAAGAACCAGAAAAATCTCTCAAAATTGCCATAGGGCTTGGGGTGAAATGCCAAGCTTAATTTTTCAGATTTGGGTATTAGATGATTTCAGATCAGCTTCAGGTTAGCCGCCATTCTTTGGGATCCTTACCCAACCCTAGCTCCAACTCCAAGGGCCTGTGTGCTGATCTCACTAACATAGTACAACATCACTGACCTGAGTGGATACATTACATATTTAACCTCCTAAACCTGCAAACACTTAGACACCTGCTTGACTTAACACCCCTCAGTAGTCGTGTGTAGAGCTTGGCAAAATAGTCTTTGTACAAGCGAGCGCATGTGAGAATGACTCTAGAACTGGTAGGTAGAGCATTCTCCTAGAATGTGGTTAGATCCAAGTTGAAGTCCCTGCTTCAATAGTTATTTAAGTATTTATAAGAAATGGAACAGATTCAACATGAGAAATTGATAGAGACCCCTAGCTCAATGGTTAGTGCAGGCTGTTGCAATTGGGAAGATCCATGTTCAAATCCCTTTTTCATATGAGGTGTAGGGGGCATAGAATGCGGCTCTCCCATATGCCAGGAGGCTAAAGGTTATCACTGAGCTAAAGATTATCAGGTAGGTCTCCTTCCTACCCCACCCCACCCATTTTGTGAATGAAGTCTTCATTGGCTTTGGTCAAAATCCCTGAAATTGGCATGGAATTTTTGGAGTTGCGTTGAAATGAAACTTGAAGCATTGGCTCAACTCAACTTATTTTTTTTTTTTTGGCTTAACAAGTCACCTAATTTTTTTTTAAAAAATCATTTTTGGTTTGACCCAATTTTTTTTTTTAAATTTTGGACATGCCAGTAAACCAAAAAATCTATTATGTGCCCAGCTCTAGTTTCCTGGAGGCCAGTGGAGCACTATTGCACAATAGTGAGTACAAAATGCACACCTATGAAGGAGGTAGTAACAAACAGACAGTATACAGACAACTGTTCTCTCCTGCCAGTGAAGAAATATATCCACTGACGTTGCTGGAGCAGTGCACACATGGGGACTGCTCGTGTACATAAAGTTCAGCAGGTGCCTTGGGGGCCTTACACTGCTGGGAAGGAGATGAGAATCCAGGCCCCAAAACCTCGGATGGTTTGGGTTCCTGGCTACCCAAGAGTGCAACTTTGTGCTCATGTAATAATGATACACTCAGCTGCAATATACTGAGTTGCATGAGTTGACAGTCCCACGGTATAAACAGGAGGAGACCGCTGGAAATTACTCAGCTGGAAACCTTTGATTGCAAGCCTTGCTTACTCCTTAAACTGGAGTCCAACTCTCTCGGCCTTAAGGGCATTTTGCAAAGCTTGTCTGTTCTCCTAGGCTTTTCCAAAGGGTGGGTGGCCTAAGAAGGGCTGAAGGATAATGCTGAATGGTGGAAGGGGATCTATTTGATAAGATCTGTACATGTTTTCAGTTTACACGTACACCTGGAGTGATAGTCGGGTGTATATTTTAGCAATTACAATTAAAAAAAAACTATCGTAAAGGAAGACACATCCTTGACATTCTACCCGGATTTCAAAAAAATTCACAATGTCCAATATTAATAATGGCCATTGTCCTTTAAAAAGGTTGTTGCACTTCAAGACTTTTGACAGTTACGCATACAATGGTTGCAATGACTGAAGTCGTGTTCCTTTACTGTGTTGGCTGTAGGAGAGTTTCACTGTGGATTTGAAGATGGCAACATATGTCTATTCACTCAAGATGATACGGATAATTTTGACTGGACGAAACAAAGCACTGCCACCAGGGACACAAAATATACCCCAAACACTGGACCCAACGCAGACCGAAGTGGCTCCAAAGAAGGTAAAACGTAGCTTAGATTTCTGCAACAACAGACCCTCAGCAAATGCAAATCAACATAGCTCCACTGAGGATCTACCCAACATGTTGAGTCCCAAGGCCTTGTCTTTTCTTAATGACAACCAGCAATATTTAGGTTGAAAATACTGAGCTATGATAATTCTGTAGGGACTCCATAACATTTAATAGAGATGATCCCAAAGCAAAATCTTGCATCTGAACATTTACATACAGAGGTCAGATCTGTGTCTAAAACCAAGCTTTGTGGCTCCTGACCAGTCCTGTTTGTTACCATTTCTAATGGACATTTTAAAGATGATCAGTTTCAGACAATAGGTCCTGTAGTGATGTATATTTCAAACTTCCTACAAAGTTCTGTAGCTTTTAGTCATTTAAATTCTTACTAGCAGATTGTGAGAGCTAAAAGTTTCATTGCCCTGTCTTCATTTTGTATCCTGCTAAAGGGCGTGATTTGAAATCTGCCATCCCTGTTAACTAAAGCACTGGATTCTGCTTTCTGTATGCATTCGAACGTTGACTTTCAGACTTACAGTACAGGATTGTGATCGCTCACACTACTTTATACTCCACATCCCACCTGCACTACCAAACACAGTAATGCTTGCGTTGCCTGTGCTTGGTTACAGTTATTGAGCAAGTCACATTAAAAAACTAGTATCTATAATGCTGACATAAACTAGAATCAGGATCATTGAATAATGTGTTCTTTCACTGAGAATGGGCTTTTGAACCGTGTATCCCACAGTATTCTTGCCAGCAAGTTAAAGAAGTGTGGGCTGGATGGATGGACTGTAAGGTGGATAGAAAGCTGGCTAGATTATCGGGCTCAACGGGTAGTGGTCAATGACTCCATGTCTAGTTGGCAGCCGATATCTAGCGGAGTCCCCCAAGGGTCGGTCCTGGGGCTGGTTTTGCTGAATATCTTCATTAATGATCTGGAGGATGGCGTGGATTGCACCCTCAGCAAGTTTGCAGATGACACTAAACTGGGAGGAGAGGTAGATACGCTGGAGGGTAGGGATAGGATACAGAGGGACCTAGACAAATTAGAGGATTGGGCCAAAGGAAATCTGATGACATTCAACAAAGACAAGTGCAGAGTCCTGCACTTAGGACAGAAGAATCCCATTCACTGCTACAGACTAGGGACTGAATGGCTAGGCAGCAGTTCTGCAGAAAAGGACCTAGTGGTTACAGTAGACGGGACGCTGGATATGAGTCAACAGTGTGCCCTTGTTGCCAAGAAGGCTAATGGCATTTTGGGCTGTATAAGTAGGGGCATTGCCAGCAGATTGAGGGACGCGATCGTTCCCCTCTATTCGACATTGGTGAGGCCTCGTCTGGAGTACTGTGTCCAGTTTTGGGCCCCACGCTACAAGAATGATGTGGAAAAATTGGAGAGAGTCCAGCGGAGGGCAACAAAAATGATTAGGGGATTGGAACACATGACTTATGAGGAGAGGCTGAGGGAACTGGGATTGTTTAGTCTGCAGAAGAGAAGAATGAGGGGGGATTTGATAGCTGCTTTCAGCTCCCTGACGGGGTTCCAAAGAGGTGGATCTAGACTGTTCTCAGTTGTAGAAGATGACAGAACAAGGAATAATGGTCTCAAGCTGCGGTGGGGGAGGTCTAGGTTGGATATTAGGAAAAGCTTTTTCAGTAGGAGGGTGGTGAAGCACTGGAATGCGTTACCTAGGGAGGGGATGGAATCTCCTTTCTTTGAGCTTTTTAAGATCAGGCTTGACAAAGCCCTGGCTGGGATGATTTAGTTGGGGATTGGTCCTACTTTGAGCAGGGGGTTGGACTAGATGACCTCCTGAGGTCCCTTCCAACCCTGATAGTCTATGATTCTATGATTGGTAGGGCTATCGAAAAGGCTCCTTGAAACGATGCCATGAAGAAATTGTTCATTATTTTAAAAATACTTCTTCTTTCACTATTCATATAAACACTTTGCCACCTTGAGACTGAGATCTGGAACCTAAACAAAGAATTTCCCCCTTTGTTGTGTCTGCACATTGGTTTATTGCTTTACCGTTGCTTGTGAGTACTGAACGACAAGCACAGATTTTTACCATGAATAGAAAAAAAAATCTCATTGAAGCATTTGTCTGTGGAAGCCCATGGGATTTATGCAGGTCAAGTGCGGCAAACAAGGCCCAGCGGTGTCAGATGAATGTAAAAAAATTGTTCAAGGTGCTTAACAGCTCTGGTGCTGAGTAGCCTTACACTGAGAGAGAGAGACTGTGTGTGTGTGTGTGTTTGTTTAAAGACTGAACTTAACAATTTCCATTCTGGCCTTCTTCTAGGTTTCTACATGTACATTGAAACTTCACGCCCGAGGCTGGAAGGAGAAAAGGCCAGACTTCTTAGTCCCTTTTTCAGTGTAGCCCCTAAAAACCCTTATGGAGTCACCAACACTGCATATTGTTTTAGTTTCTACTATCACATGTACGGACAGCACATAGGTGAGAGGAACCCGACAATATTGTCAGTTTTGGTGTAGGGCAAATTACAGGAGAAACTGTGGTTTTATTAATGGAAAACAATAACACACACATCTTACTGAAAAAGGAAAGGTCAGCAGCATCTAAATGTTACCCCTTTGTACAGCACCTAGCACCATGGGGTTCCGCTCCGTGACTAGGGCTGCCAGGTGCTATGGTAATACAGAATATAATAAGACGTGCCAATTAGCACCTTCATCACTTTGGGCTTGTTCAGCACAGCCCACACTTGGGGGCAGTAGAGAACCACTCCATTCAAAGCATGGGGCAGCAGCAGGAACCCCTTCTAAGTGCATGTGAATGTGGCTTTGAGAAAGGAAATTTTCAAGTATTGCAGAGAGAAAGGGCTGTAAGCACTTTGCTGGTACTACACCAGTATTTTGAGTCCCCTGCTGTGAGGAGGCGAGGGTCGGGGTCACTTGATTATCAGCTATAACTCTCTTCTGATGGCTATTGTAACATCCCAGAATGGATTTCTACAGGCTGGTCCTGGCCCTTGGTGAAAAATCAAAAGAAACAGCCAAAAGTAGGTTTGGTTTTTTTAATGACGTACATGCCATATCTAAAGGACCCTGGTGTATCTCAGTGATATATATTTATGTGTTAAGAAGGCATAAGCAACAGCCGGCGCGTCTCTCTGGATCCCAGAAACCCCATATAAGTGAACAGAGCATCAGAATGTGTCTGAATGGATTTCTAGCATCAAGCTGATTTCAAGTTTATGTTGCCGAAATTACATTTTTCGGGGCAAACCCCTCCCTCTGATGCATGGTAGTGGCTCCTTTTGGACTCCCCTGCCTCCCTCCAGGTAGGATTTAGCCCTTAAATAAAGCAGAGGAGTTGAATGAGTTTTGTTAGTTGCCACTGTAAGATGAACCATTTGGAGGCAGCTCCAAGGCAGGTCTTCAGTCGGAGCTTTCTTTGTAACGGCAAGGGTTAGTCGGGTTTAGTGAGTATCATTCAAAAAAACCTAAAATCCCATGGGAAGCTGCTGATGGTATTTGGCAGTAAAGGATACAGTGAGGCCATATAAGTAGCCAGCATTTTCCAAGGTAATGGTAGGGTTGAGTACGGTGTCAACTTGACATCCCTTTGGACTCTTGTCCAAAGCATAATCACATCATGGGTCCAGCCTAATGTATCAGGGGAAGTTTCCATGTCTGCTCAATCCTTGGCTTCTCTGCTGAGACTGTTAACGGGAGTGCAGTGTGTGCTAATTGCAACAGGAGCAAATTCTGCCATCTGCACAGCTGCCCAACCAAATGGCAGAGGATTCCCAGCACCACAGTTGATTGGTGGTTGTAAGCCGGGGGGGGGGGGGGGTTGGTTTGGCCATTTTGAAAAATGAGTGAGTTTAGTGCTCTTCAGGAGGAGAGAGAAATAATAGCACGGTCTTGGGTACCTCTGCAGCGCAGCCAGCCAATCACGCTCCCATTGGTACAATGGCCAAGAGGGAAAAGGGGAGCTTATGTGGAGAAATGAGGGCTGGGTATGAGATTACCAAATCCATTGTAAGGTTAGGCTAAAGCCTAGCTCCCAAGAGAAAAGCAGGCATGGAATTCCCTGTCCTGTCACAATTAGGTTTGGAACTAGGGTCTATGTTTCTAATCGTACTCCCAAATATGTGTTGCTTTTAACTGTGAACCATATGAGAAGTTCCTGTCAGATCAGACAGAATTAACCCTGAGAATGCTCACATCCTCCTAACTGCCAGCCCAAAGAGGATGCACTCTGAATATTCACCTTTTCGAGGGGTTAACGTTGATAATCCCTAAAAGTACAGACAGAAGACCGTTTGTGTCTCTTGTCTCTGCAAATGGCTGCTCATGTGGGCTCTTTCCTGTGAGGTGCTGAGCTCCTGTAACTGCAGCTCCCGTTCAATGGGAGTGTAGAGTGATTGGCATGTGGCAGGTTTGGGCCACAATAATATTTTCATACGTTTGTAACTGGAGCAATGAAGTGGCACGCGCTCTTTAAGAAGCAGTGCCAGGGCTAACACCACAGGTTTTCACAAGTGGTGCAGTCGGTCTGTGTCCTACATCACCTTATTTCCAATCTATTTGATCTACAGCAGCCTCTCAGTGTGGTACCGCATTGTTGGGGGAACAAGGAATAAAACAAAGAGTCACCAGGGACAGTCTGTATTTAGTGAAAGACTGCCAAACCAAAATAAAAACAACACTGTACAAGAATACTGCCTGACAATCACTATTTCAGTAAAATAGTGTTCAATGGATGCCACAGAAAAGCTAATACAGTCATTAAAGCTTCTCTTCACCTTCAACAAGTTAGCCCAAGAGTTCCCATGCTATAAAACCATCCAAAGCATAAACTTCTCTGATTTATTTTTATGCAAAAATGTATCATGTCTCCATTGCAATTTGTATTATCTGCTCAAGGGTCACTTGGCTGCTCATTTTCCTGTCTGTCAGAATTGTTCTCCGTTTAAAAGAAAAGTTCACCAGGGGTCAGTTTTTCAAAACAAGTCTTGCATGCAGTACTTGTGGTCTTTTGCAAGTATGCACAGCCATGACTGGCAGCAAGTTATTAATTTCAAGAGTAGGCGTTTACTGCAGGTTGAATCTATCAAACTTGCAAATGCATTTGAGGCTGACAAAAGTAGGTGTGTGTAAATAAACTCAAGAAGCTGCCAGATTGATTGAGAAGGCCTGCACATAGCTGGTGAAGTAATGCCTGTTCTTTTAAGCAAGAGGGCTCAAAAGATGTAATCCACATGTCATTAGTTTGAACTACATGACAGGAGTTTGGCAGAGGTATGAATGATCTTGCATTTTGGCATCCTGTATGACCTAAATAATTGAGTGTGGTAATCATCCTGCAGTACCCACCCAGCTGTATGCCACAATCTGTATCTCCCAGCACTAGTGGATAATACATTGACACAGAACATCGGTGCATTGCTTGCTATTGGCATTATTTTGGATCTTCATGAAAAGTAAGATTATATGTAATAGTTTTCTTTAATCTAGCATAAATTTAAATTCATGCTGTGACTACTCATAGGTGGGCTGGCTTTTCTCTAATGTATCTCTAGTAGTTGTTTGGAAAGCGCCCAAGCCTTTAGGGTACCACACTCTCTTCCTGCAGTTCTGCTCAACCCTGTGCTAAGCAATCCACATCTCCTTTAACTGCTCCCATGCCTGCAGTTCCTGGCAACTTATCTCACTCTTCTAACTGGCTGCTCCAATTCTGCTCCATTTCCCTGCCCTTAAGAAAACCTCACTTAGAACCTCCTTTCTCTCCCGGTTTCACTTTAACTTCCTGCTTCCCTTCATCTCTAACATCCTGGAACATGCACCTACTGTCCTCTTATTCCCTCCAATCGGGCATGTGCCTGGAACCTGCCAGCACAAAACTCACTGCACTTTCCTTTCTTTGCCTGCTCTAAGGGTCTCCACTCCCTATTCATTCTTCACTACTGCTTTTAACACTCTAAGCCATTCTTGTCTGCTCAAGACCTTCTCTTCACTGGGAGCCCATAACTCTGAACTCTTCCTTGCTGACTTATATGTCAGCATTACCTTTGGTGGATCTTCCTCCTCCTGGCTCCCCCTCCACCCTTCTTTCCAAATACTGCACTCATCCAGTATTCCGTCCCCCCTTCTAGCCCTCTGATTCTTTTCTTCCCACCCATGCCCCTGGACTATGAAGCCTACCCACTTCCCATCCCCACTCTCTTTAAGCTACCATACTCCTAGCCAGCCTGAAATCTCTAACAATGGATGTTCTTTCTGCCTAGCCTTGGAGGCTTCTTCATTTCAAATCTTGCACCAAGGACCAGTGAGGAAGCAAGCAAGAAAGGGGGAGAATTATTTGAGCTGAACTGGCATGAATCTTACAAGAGCTTCCCATTCAGTTTGGAGCTGGTTCTTATTTCACAAGAGCCAGGCGACCCTTCCCCAGTGCTGAGCCCTGGTTGGCTCATCTGACAGATGGTGAACATGTGTGGAACCTGAACGACTGCTGGCCCAAGCTTCCCACATAGCTTCAGAAACAGCAACAGTGCATGCCTAGTACCTGCCACACCCTAGTTCTGGATGTTGGTGGGTCCTTCTAGCTGAGTTGCCCTGCCCTCTGCATGTTTGAAAAGAGCCAGGGTGTCCCTCTAAAATCCATGTCTCCTCCCCACTGCTTCTCTCTCTTCCTTTCGATTGAAAAATCAAATGCTACAGTGTAAAAAAAAAAAACGCACCACCCGTTAAGGCACTGAGGCCCATTCAGATTTGCACCCAGTTTGAAGGTAAGGTGGGAGCCTAATTCTTGGTGCGCCTGTGTAAACATCAGCTGCAGGCACATTTACTGCTTCTTTTTACGTCTGTCAATTTCATTCCATTTTTTGTTGTTTTTTATAATCTAATCTTGTGTTTTTCAAGGCCATGAGTTGCACTAGGAACCAGAACTTTGTGTGACTTTGAGCTGTGTCATTGTGCAGGTGTCTCTTACAGCAGAGGTATATTTGTAAACTTAACTTGTACTTTGCGTTCCCAGGGTGCTGGATAAATTATATAATTAATGTTCCAGGGGACATGTTTTACTCAAGGCTTTGCTGTTCGTTGCATCCCTAGAGAACAGTGGCTTTTGAGAGCTTTGATGCTGTGAACTTTTTCAAATCAAGGCAAAAATGATTTTTTTAAAAAAGGCTGATATAGAAAGGACGCCTCCAGGCAGCAGGAGATAGCTGTTTCTGTTGGGAAGCACATGAGAAACATGCACCGGGTCTATGAACTTCATGACTTCTTTAATCTTGCCAAATTCTATGTGACACTTATGATTTTGTCACTTCCAACAGCAGGAAAAAAACATGTCACATTCCTATTCAAAGACCGAATGAATAAAGTATACATAAGGGAGAAGTAGGGGTGTGATGGCACCCTGGGGTACAACCTGGATCTGTGGGACCTCTGTGCTCCCTTAACTTTCCAGCCTTGGCTCTCTCACACAATGCTATGCCAGTGAGGAGCAGCAAAACTCCTCCAGACGCTGTGATCATTCAGCCATCAGCATGTGGAGCCCCACACCCAGTGAAATTCCAGGAATGCTCCTTGAGCCACTCATGAATTATACAGAGAGAGGCAGCAGCCAATCATCTCAGCCTTGCACTGCAGAAATGTACCATCTTACACTGCTCAAGTCTCCCTTGGACAGTGCAAGTTCATTAATAAGTTTGCCACTTCAAAGGAAAGTGGACATGCACTAGCCTTTGTCGTCTGAGCTGAGCTTCCCCAAGCACTGCAACCAAACACACACTGTTTTAGCTAAAATATAAAACAGATTTCTTAACTACAGAAAGAGAGATTTGAAGTGATTGTAAGTAGCAGACATAGAGATCAAAGTTGGTTATCTAAGAAATAAAAAGAGAAATGCAGCCTAAATTCTAACTTAGACTAAGCAAGATTGGAATCAAGCAGTCTCTCACCCTAACAGACGTTACAGGCAGCCCACAGTTCTTCAATACACAGACTAGGACCAGTCTCCCTAGTTCAAAGTCGTCTTCCAGAGGATCTTCCAGGAGTTGAGATGGAGCCGGAGGAGGAAAGGCCAAGTGATGACTTCACAGTCCCTCTTTTATACTTTCGTCCATCTGCTGGACAGATCCTTGCACTGATGACAGTCCCCATTAGTCAGACTGTCCCCATCTGTGTAGGTACCTGCCCTCTCCAAGCAATCTCTCAGAGAGTGGATTCTTCTTGATGGGCCATTAATGTCCATCTGGCCAGTAATAGCGGCTCCTTTGTCCTGACTGAAAAGCTGGCTGTGGTGTCTCCCAACCTCACAACATACTTCAGTAGGACATATAGCAAAACTTCATAACTTCACGTACAATGACGACACAGACCATCCAACAGGATATTAAGGTTCAACAGATCAAGACTTTTAAAATGATACCTCACAAGCCATGCGTTGTATAAAGCCTATAATCATATGACAGTGGTGAATATGGGGCTTCCAGGGTGCTACTTTGAGGTACAGTGTGTCACAATGGGAAAGGGGCAAATGCCTAAGGGAGGGGTTGAAGCATCAAGGCAGACTGTTACCTGTAGCAAAGAGTGTCTGCACTGGAATCTGCACACAGCTGAACACTATTAACAAAGAAACTATCTGTGCAAAAGAACCAAACTGACTAACGTTGTTACTGGGTTTTTTCATAGGAAGCTTGAATGTTTACCTGCGGTTAAAGGGACAGACCACGATAGAAAATCCAGTATGGTCTTCAAGTGGGAATAAGGGACAACACTGGAACCAGGCCCGTGTTAATATACACCCCACCACTTCATTTCAGGTAAGGCAGAGGAGAGTAAAGCTATCTGGTGCATGCACTGGAAATAGAGCATTCTCTTTGGCACTGATGGGGGAAATCAAGCAAGTGTCCTGTTTACATTTCTGCTTTTTTGACACAGCATTTCACAGCTTCATTTCAGCTCTGAAAGCTGCTTTCTGGACAGATAATTGCTTTCCCTCTTGTAAATAGGTGCAGATCACAGAGATTAACAATGCATATTTAATGTCAGAATACCAACCATTAGCTGGAATAGTAACCTGTTTTCAGCTGGGAATGGTGCTATCAGTTTATGTAAAACATGTTTTTTTTCAGCTGAGCAACTTGAATAGAAAGTTTGCTTCATGTGTAATTTGTCTGGGGACCAAGGAGCAATACACAATCAGATCCCTAGAAATTTATGCTCTCGCCACAAAAAAATAAATTATCTCTGAATCTTTGGTAACAATTAGGTGACAAAGGAACAGTATTCCCTGTAGAAAATTCCTGACTTTGCAAAGATACACACAGCATTCATTAGACTTACACAGCTTGCCGCAGGTTTTCACAAACTTTGTGCTTGATTTGATCATGAGATATGTACAGACTTCTGCAAAAAATGTGTGGTTTTATGGGCCCAACTCTGCTATCCATACTCATGAGGATGAGCAGTTGGTGACATGAATGGGCCCAGTGAACTCAGTATAACTGCTTGAGTAAGAAACTCCTCTCCAGCATAAAAGTAGCACAAATGAACCTTATATCTTTAAAGCTATCCTACTCGCCAAGGATGATTAGGCACTATTGTTCTGGGCTCCAAAACGTATGCACCTCCAAGTCTGCTAACCTGAAAACATGGATTGGCAATTACTACTGATCCTGACCCTGAATTTTTCATTTCCAAAGTAAAGGGCAACAATAGAAGGAAAGTTATTTGATGCCCATGCTCCTAGAGGCTGTTCCAAGCATATAAAAGGCAGCATGGAAGACGCTGGGAAGAAAACAATGAGAGAAGGATGACATGGAGGAGGTGGTAAACTAGAAAATGTGGACAGAGCAAAGACTGTGGGGACTGTCTCCATATTTGCTCACCCAGTATCATCTATGCTTATTAAAGGTTTCAGGAATCTCTACCCCCAGATTAGAGACCCTACTCCAACCTTAGACCTCAACCTGCTACTCAGATATCTGATGAGATCTCCATTCGAACCAATGGCAACCTGTTCTCTGCTCAGTTTATCTATGAAGATGTCCTTTTTAGTAGCCATCACATTGGCCTGTAGGTTTGGGGAGATTGGAGCCTTGATGGCAGATCCCCCCTTTACAGTTTTCTTCAAGGACAAAAGGTCTTTACGTCAAAACCCTAAATTCTTACCTAAAGTTCTATCGGAGTTCCATCTTAACCATTCCATTCATCTACCAGTGTTTCTTCCGAAGCCACATAGTTCTCTGCAGGAGTCCTGTTTTCATATATTGGATGTTAAAAGGGCTTTGGCTTTCCGCATTGATAGGACGAAGCATTTTGAAAAGTCACCCAGGCTGTTCATCTCCTTCATGGATAGATCCAAGGGGTCCATGATCTCTGCTTAGAGACCATCAAGATGGCTATCTGGAGGTACTGTCATTTGTTATGATGCTCTTCCTCCACAGCAGGTAATAGCACATTTGATCACATCACAAGCAACACATCATTAGTTAAGAACGTCTCAGTATCTGATATATGTACAGCTGCGACTTGGGCCTCATACACTTTCAAAGTATTTACACTTTACTCCCTGCCAGTCCGATGCAGCATTTGGTACTTAAGTACTATCTTCGGTTCTAGTCTCAATTCCAAAGTCACCTGAAGTGCAGAACCCATGGCGCGGGGACTACTCAAAAAAGAAGAAAAGGAAGTTACTCACCTTGTGCAGTACCTGGGGTTCTTCAAGAGGTGTCCTCCTGTGGTGCTCCACTGCCCGCCCTCCTTCCCCTCTGCTTCCGACTGTTCTCTACGGGATATGAAGGAGGCGGAGAAGGAACTGAAGGTGCTTTGCCCAAGCATGCCTATACAGCCTTGGTGTCTGGCATGAGGCGGTAGAGGGAATATGCACAGGCCAAACTGCTAATGGAAACTCTCTAATCAAGGGCTCGGGAGGCACATGCGCACCTGAAGTGGAGCACCCAGAGGGATTCATATCGCAAAAACCAGCAGTTACTGTCTTCATGTCTGTCGTAGAGTTTTATATTGCCACCACCACCATATGCAAATGCCTTTCATGTAATATCAATAGCACTAGCCACGTTCCTAGTGGGTTTCACTGGGTCTCTGACTCTTCTCTCTTTTTAGGTTACAACTCTGTGTAGAGTTTTTTGTTTGTTCTTGAGTTAGCTCGTTTTCTTTGGTTGATTTGATTTTTACAGGGTTTTTTTATTTGTTATATGAAAAAACCTAGGCCCAGGAAGACAAGTAAAAGAAATGTCATATTTACGTCTGGTCAAAACTTTTCCGTCTCAACTTTTTTTGAGGGAAACATTTTCCACTAAATTTAATTTTCACAGAGAGTGCTTGCTTTTCTTGAAATGTTTAGTTGGAAAACCTAAACAGTGAACATTTTCAGTTTTTGACCCCCCTCACCTCCCAAACTGCAATCTACAAAGTTTAAATGCTCAGTTAGTGATTGCATCTGTTTTAATGTGACTTTGTTTTGCACCTGGGCAACCTGTGCCAACTAGCTTTGTACCGTGTTGTTGTAGCTGTGTTGGTCCTAGGACATTAGAGAGACAAGGTGGGTGAGGTGATATCTTCCATTGGGACAACTTCAGTTGGTGAGGGAGTCAAGCTTTCGAGCTTACACAGAGCTCTTCTTTAGGTGACTTGAAGCACTCTATATAGTTCCAAAGCTAGTCTCTCTTGTCTTTCACACAACGCACAGTCAACCTGTGGAACTCCTTGCAAGAGGATGTTGTAAAGGCCAAGACTATAAAAGGGTTCAAAAAAGAACTAAATAAATTCATGAAAGGCTATTAGCCAGGATGGGCAGGGATGGTGTCCCTAACCTCTGTTTGCCAGAAGCTGGGAATGGGCAACAGGGGATGGATCACTTGATGATTACCTGTTCTGTTCATTCCCTCTGGGGCACCTGGCATTCGCCACTGTCAGAAGACAGAAGACCGGGCTACATGAACGTTTGGTCTGACCCATTTTGGCCGTTCTTATGTTCTCACCAACAGGAGTTAGTCCAATAAAAGATATTACCTCACTCACCTTATCTCCCTAATTTACTGCTTTGGAAGTTATCCAAAGCCAGGCAAGATTTCATCCTTCCAACATCTAATTAGGCTTATAAACCTCTGTTGTGATTTAGTCCAGAATAATGAGCACGATTCATTTAATTCTTCAGAAACAAATGGATATTTTACATTAAAGGATGGATCTGTCAATAAATAAACAAATAGCACGCACGCACACACAAATAAAGTGAATTTTAGTGTCTGGAACAGACTGACAGACTGTGAAAGATGGACAGACTGCCCTGGGGAATTAAATGCTTTGTTTCTCCACAGAACAGATACAGCACAGGGGTTGCCCAAGGCAAGCACTTAAGCTGCATGTCATCTCTAGGGTTATGGATGTGGCTTCGTTTTCATTCCCATCAGTCCATGTCCTCTGTATTTAGCCCCCTGACAAGGATGCCAGTAATGGTAGCTTTTTTCATTATTTTGACTTTCGGCTACTAGAAACAGGCTGAGAACATCATCATCTTAGACCCAAATGAAATGTTGGCAAGAAACTCCAAAGCTGGCTACAATAGTTACTTGGGCCCTGGGAATAAAAGAAGGCCAAGAAGACTTAGGGCTTGTCTACACTGGCACTTTACAGCACTGAACCTTTCTCGCTCAGGGGTGTGAAAAAGCACCCCCCTGAGCGCAGCAAGTTTCAGGGCTGTAACGTGCCCCTGTAGGCAGTGCCCCAGCTCTGGGAGCTGTGCCCCCCGTGGAGGTGGTTTTTTAGAGCGCTGGGAGAGCTCTCCCCCAGCACTCTGCTGTGACCGCACTTTAACATTGCCAGTGTAGACTAGCCCTCAGGATAAAAGATGAGCCCCACTGCATCATTCCTTCCAATTAAGGATGCTCTGAGCATGAACATTTAGATCCAGGTTGAAATCTTTGCCAAGCTTGGGGGCGTTCGGACGTGGGATTTTGAGTGGGCTGGTTTCTACTTCTATTCAGGAGTCTCTCCAGGGAAGTACGCCCCGCCTGACATCTATTGGAAAAAGCAACTAAAAGCAAAATCCCCTTTGAGGCTCCCTGGATCGATGGGAAGATATAAGGCATAGTTTCCATTTTACTTGTCAAGAGAGTAAAGCGGCCTTCAGTATATTTGTAAGCCCTGCTATTCTTCTGCTTAAATGCAGCATTTCTAACAACAGCTGTGTAAAATTACATGGGCACAGATAATAGCTTTTGCTAGAGACTGGTAGGGGATTGTGATCATCTGGCACATCCTGCAAGTAACTACGAGCTGCACACTAGACTGCGCTTCATGCATTGCCAATACTCTTCTGCTGTGATTTGTTTGGAGCCAGTGGCCAACCTGGCTAACAGGGAACCATCTTTGAAACCTGTGCAGCTTCTTGCCAAAAGCAGATTTTAATTAAATGCAACCGCTTGTATGTTTGTTTATAGAATTCTTGGTGTCTTGAAGCAGTGCTTGTCCTAACCAGGAGAGATTTGATTTTAAACCCGGTTGATAGGTTCTGTACAGCCTGCCAAGAGAGGGAGGTGAGCAGCACGTTGAGAAAAGAGGAGAAAGATATTTTCCTTTCAAGCTGAATACTTTCCATTATAAGTGTTAGAGTGGGGGAAATGTGATGAGAGGGTAATTACCGGAAACACTGTTTTCAGACAGTGGGCTAAAAATGGAAACCTTGCTGTTCTCCCAATTACTGTTCCTGGTTACACTAATGCCTGCCTTGTTACAGTAATTAACCTACAATATCACACTTCAGTAAAATAACGATGGAGTCATCCACTACAAATGTGCTGCTTTCCAGTTTATTTAGCATTGCGAGCACAGAACTTGCAGTGTGACTTAAGGCACGCCAGTCAGCTTTTAAATACATCCCCGAGTCCGGCCACTCTACCGCTGTAGTGTCAACAACCTAGAGCAGTGCTTCTTAAGCTCTCTGATGTGGGGGACTGGCAATTTTTTTTTCCAATGTGCGTGCAGACCGGCAGCCGATGGCTCGTGGACCGGCACCGGTCCGCGGGCCACCACTTTGAGTAGCACTGGCCTAGAGGGTGAATTTGGCTTAATACACGTAGGACATGTGTCTACTGCTGACGGCATGAGTAACGCGATCAAGTGGAATAAAGAAAGTAAAATCTGCCTCTACACAGCATAATGTCTTGCGATCTGGTATTCTGGCACATCGTAGTGCTTGAATGTTATTTATATGGTAATGTCCATCCATGCGTGGTGCTGAGCACCTCTTGCGAGATGCAGTGCACTGCTTCACTGGGTATTGAGGACTTGCTGGACATTTGTAATGAAAGCTACTCATTCTAACTGAACAACACCGACTGAACTGTATTCATGAGCAAAGAAAAGATGGAACCTGTCAAAAGAACTTTGATAGGCTCAATCCTGTGCCCTATTAAATCACTGGTAAAACTGCTGCTGAAATCAGTGGCAGCAGAATCCGGCTAAGTGTTCTCTATAATCGGTACTGTAACTAAATTATTACTAAATGTAATGTATTACTCCAAATAGAATTAAATGTCTTCCAGTTGTTAATTTCTGTATCAGTGCCACAGTGTTTCCATATGATGTGCTTTGAATTTCATACATATATTGTAGTAGATGAAAGTTTAAAACTTGTCATCTCTGTTAACTGAAAGCATTTCAAAAGGATAGCTGTGTGAATTTGATTGCTTGCAAAATAGGGGTTGCATAATTCCCTTCACCTTTACAGAAAGATTTTGAAGTTTGCTATTGGATACATTTTCTCATGTTTCTGCAGTACTGTAGTAATCCTTCATTAATAACTGGCATTATGGCAAATATTAGTAACTACCTTGCTACAGGCCAGACATCTCCAAACTGGGATAACTTTCCTCTCCAGCTAAAGTAATACAGATTTCTGCCTCTAACTGTCTCACAATGTTGCTCTCTTTTTCGTCAACCACATACTGTCCTTGGTTGGCAATTACCATTCTCATATTCTGAGAACACACTGGACCACGTCTGATTTTTTTTTCTCAAGGTGCCCTGAAAACAAGGGGAAACATCTACACTGGAGAACTGCTAACCATCACAAGGATGGGAATAGCCTCTCGCTATTCATCGTTGAGCTAGGATCTGCTCATTTCCTTCACCAAAGCAATAATGGGAAGTGCTGTTGACACCCAGTGCTTCCTGAGAGACCAGGCTCCTCTAGTGTATGAACCTGGGAAAAAACATGATGGACATATGCCGCAATAAGCAGTGGTGCTGACGTAGTCTCAGTCATGTCCTCCAGTGACTTGCAATAAATATTTTCTCAGGCTTGTCTTAGGGGGCTAGTCATCATCCAAACAGACTCTGGCAGAACCCCAAATGAAAGAGAGAGTGGTGAATGAGTGTCCATGTGACTCTCTGGAACCTCTCAAAAGGAAAGTCTAAATACAACACCAGCCTGTTCCAAAGTTTCTCTCAGACTGGGGGTAATGACCACCAGGGGCAGTTTGCAAACAGGTGCGAGGGGGTTAAGACCACCCTGTCCTTTCCATATTGCTGAGTAGCAAGGGGATCCCGGTGTGATCCCAGCTAGATGAGATGAGTGTCGCAGTATGGAAATGTGATCGGTGGAACGGGTTTGGGAAAAGTGGAGAACCACTGATCTCATCTCACCCAGGAGTTTCTTTGAACTCTGTCTAATTGACGCACCCTCATGTCTTCCCCGGAACAAGGTCACGTGCAATAATAAGTTGTAATGCCAAGAGACCTCCAGCAGAGGGCAAACTCATGTTTAAGCCAGTCGTATAGATAGCAGACGCCTCCCTTTTTTCATGGCACATTATCTGAGATGCCTTCACTGTATGGTGCCAGACGACCATCACGCCTGTACTGTGTGGTGCCAGACTACAATCACGCCTTCACTGTATGGTGCCAGACGACCATCACGCCTTCACTGTGTGGTGCCAGACGACCATCACGCCTACTTATGCCAGACGCCCATCCCTTACTGTGTGGTGCCAGACGACCATCACACCTATACTGTATGGTGCCAGACGACCATCACGCCTATACTGTATGGTGCCAGACGACCATCACGCCTGTACTGTATGGTGCCAGGCGACCATCACGCCTGTACTGTGTGGTGCCAGACGACCATCACGCCTTCACTGTATGGTGCCAGACGACCATCACGCCTTCACTGTATGGTGCCAGACGACCATCACGCCTGTACTGTATGGTGCCAGACGACCATCACGCCTTCACTGTATGGTGCCAGACGACCATCACGCCTGTACTGTATGGTGCCAGACGACCATCACGCCTTCACTGTATGGTGCCAGACGACCATCACGCCTGTACTGTATGGTGCCAGACGACCATCACGCCTATACTGTATGGTGTCAGACGACCATCACGCCTGTACTGTGTGGTGCCAGACGACCATCACGCCTGTACTGTATGGTGCCAGACGACCATCACGCCTGTACTGTATGGTGCCAGACTACCATAACGCCTTCACTGTATGGTGCCAGTCTACCATCACGTCTGTACTGTGTGGTGCCAGACGACCATCACGCCTTCACTGTATGGTGCCAGACGACCATCACGCCTGTACTGTATGGTGCCAGACGACCATTACGCCTTCACTGTATGGTGCCAGACGACCATCACGCCTTCACTGTATGGTGCCAGACGACCATCACGCCTATACTGTATGGTGCCAGATGACCATCATGCCTTTATTTCTATAGTGCCGCCCATTGAGGGACGTGGGTGCTATGCAGCAGACGAGCAAATGTCCAGTCTTGGGATGACATGCTGTGCTGTCATTGGTTGTTGCTGAGGTGTTTTGTTTTGCGGGGGGATAGAGTTGCTCCCTGGAACTAGTCGCTGGTGTTGGGCTGAGGCTCCTAAGAGACAGAATAGCCCTGCATGCTGTACCAGGCCTGGTGTATACTTGTAAACAAAGCAAGTTACAGTTAACATATGCCTAGACTCTGCACTAATGATTTCTCCGTTACTGGGATGCTGGCCTGCAAGCTCAACAGGTGTATGTACATTACTGAAGGCACATCGAGAGTCATGAACTACAGCTCTTTAATTTAACCACATTAATTTGTGTCTGTGAATAGAGCTGAATATTTTCTATTTGTCATGAATTCCCTGCATTGCTAATTGTATCGTATTTATTTTTTGCAGCTCATTTTTGAAGGGATCCGAGGTCCTGGCATAGAAGGTGATATTGCTATTGATGATGTATCAATTGTGGAAGGAGAGTGTATGAAAGCAGACCAGCCAGCCAACAGTAAGTGGGTCCTCCAGACAGTGTGATGAGCTGTCTAGATACTTATGCCTCTCCCCATCGCTGTAAATGTGAGCCATGTTCTAAACCAGACCCTGTGGTGGAGAAAACAAAACAAAATATTTCCCAGTGAAGATGGAGATTTTTAAATATTACCTTGGAACCACAATCTGGAGCCAAAATATATCTATTCAAATATGAAAATGCATGACATTTTTTTTTAAATGTAATGGCAGCAAAGAGAAGGAAAACCAAATGGGAGGCAGGCAGGACAGGACCATGAAGTTGCACTCTGGTGTATAGCTAGAGAGCATGTATATAATGGCACTGGTCTATATTAAAGGAATACTAGTTCTCCTCATATAGAGCCAGATTCTGATAGCCACCATCCCATCGTTCCATGCCTTACTCTATAGGTCTCCATTTGAAGTCAGTGGAATTGTTTGCGGAGTAAGGTACGACTGTACTGAGGTCAGGATATCAGAATCTGTCCCCTAGACAATAGACATTTGGATATTAATAACATACTTAATTTTAAAAGTGTATAGATCTCCTTTTCTTTTACAATGAATAAACATTGTGTGTGTGTGTGTGTGTGTGCATTTGAGTGTGTGCGTATATATTTATTTGTTTTATTATTATTATACATAAAAATCTCCATTACCCTACTTATAAATCTGACTGATTAAAGGGAGGGAAGGAGATAGATAGATAGATAGATAGATAGATAGATAGATAGATAGATAGATAGATAGATAGATAGATAGATAGATGGATGGGAGGGAGGGAGGGAGGGAGGGAGGGAGGGATAGCATTGGCCTTCTAAACCCAGGATTGTGACTTCAATCCTTGAGGGGGCCATTTAGAGATCAGGGGCAAAAATTGGGAATTGGTCCTGCTTTGAGCAGGGGGTTAGACTAGATGATCTCTTGAGGTCCCTGCCAACCCTGATGTTCTATGATTCTAGAGATAGATATTATAGGCTCACAACTATGCTAAAAGAATTTTAAGGTTGCAAAGCCAAACACTCAAAATTTAGGAAATTCCCAAATGTAGGCTGCCTGTGAAACCTTAATTCACACACACACACCCCAGGCACACACTTTGTGCATAGGTTTCTATGATACAGTCTTTAATTATATGATCACTTACTATTTTTCTCACAAGACCTGTGACTTATTCAGTGCCCAGGATTGACCTTGGTCCCCTTATTTATCAATAAATATCATCCAGTTATCCCAACAGCTCTGGAACTTTGGTGGAAGTGGGAAGCCCACGAGACTCTGTCACTCTCCGTGGCCTTGCCCCCTGCTCCTCCTCTTCTTCCCGAGGCCCCACCCCCTGGCCCGGCTGGAAGTCGGAGCTGGGCCATGGTAAGAGTCACGGGGCAGTGTGGGGAGTTCTGGACCCTCCACCTGCCCTGGGCAGCAGGCCAGGGTTCCCAAGAGCAGACTCCAGCCCATGACCCTGCCCCCCTGGGGCACACCACCCAGGGCAGGTGAAGGGTTAAGGGCTCCCCACAGTAGCTTCCCTGGTGGCTCTTACCACAGCCCAGTTCCGACTTCCAGCCTGGCCAGGGGGCGTGGCCTTGGGGGGAAGAGGCGGAGCAGGGGCGGGGCTCCTGAGAGGGACCGGGTCTTTTGGAAAGCACCAGGAAGAGGCTGGCACCACCAGCAGGGGCTAGATTTTGCAGTGGGGGAGCTGCTTTCCTCCCACATTGTGAAGCGCAGTCCCTCCCAGCGCCATTCTGGTCCCCTGCCCCCCAAACTATGTCCATGTTAAAAAGCAGGCGGGCATGGCCCTTGCACTTTTAAAAGTGTGGGGGGGGGCAGAGGGGTGGTGCCGGCACCCCTGAGTTATCCTGTTCCCCAGCCTCTGCATTTTCATATGGGATCTTTCAATCTGTGCAGTGTCAGTGTGCCATTTACCCTTAGGTGGTAAACTCTTGATTCTCTGATTGTTAATTCCACTCTTTTTCTCCCCCACTCTTTGTAGATTTACGAGCAGGTGCTGTTGGGACATTAGCACATATATGGCTTTTTCCAGTGATCCTCCTCATGTCTGTCTTAAGTCATCAAAGGTGACCTTATCCTGGCAGAGGCTATGAAAGATTCACCAGGCATTGGCATGAAGAAAGAGTCTTTGTAAAATGGACATTTAAAAACAAACTACCAAAGATTCCTCCACTGACTGACTCAAAACATTAAAATAAATAAATAAATAAAAATTAAAAAAAAAAAAAGCACTGGGGATAAAAGGCATCATGGGAGCGTAACTGGCTCTGAACCACATGTGAAAAGCGAGCTGGCGTAAAAGAGACCTTCAGGTGCTTTTGTGGTCTATAAGAAATACGGCGTCATCTGGTTGAACTCTGAAAAAAAGACCTATAGAAATCCTTGTCAAAGCACAAAGTCATGGCTGGTTTTGTTTCAAATGAATAGTTTGCTTGTTACCATGGAAACCTAATGGCCTGCCAAAAAAAGAGAGTGAGCGAGAGAGAGAAACAACACCTCACTGTAAACAGGGTATATGAAGAGCTGGCGTTTATTTTCCCTTCAAGAAGGTTTTTAGTATAGAATTCAATAAATGTAGGCCCTTTCACCTTTGGGTGTCACCTCCCCTAGAAAATAACCCTCGATCAAAGATGTTTAAGACATTTATGTTTCATTTTTTCATGGCTATGCTAGATAACTGTATGCTGTCTCCTTTTGCATGCATTATTATCCAGGGTGTGTAACCTGGGATTACATATGACACGGGCTTAAACGAGTTTGCTTGCAGCCACTTCAACACCCTTCCTCCCCAGCTAAGTCATCCGTTCCAATGAAGTGAAGAAACCAAACCACCGTCTTTTATAAATTGCCATGGAAACCAAGTGCCTTCAATGAAACAAGCCTGATTAAAAACAAACAAAATCAACACAGAAGCTTGCGCTGCTAAAATGTGGTTTGTGCAAACTGTTTTCTAAACAAACCACAGAGCCGAAGTGTGCAAACAGCAGGCAAGGAGACAAAGCCGCTTCTGGAGAAGGATGGACCAAAGTTGCTGCGTAAGACCCTTTCAGACGAGATACTCCAGACGGCCATGGCCTTTCAGCTTATTATCCATTAGAAAATAGCTTCCTTTGGTCCTGGACACGGGAGCAGTACTTCTTTCTCCAGATGCTCAAGTGGGTCACCAGAGAAACAGGTTGTTAAGATGTACTTAGTGCAGCAGCTGGTAAAACACAAAAGGGATTGTCTTACTCTAACCTCCATTTGAAAAGAAATTGGCCCGAGCTTTAGAGAGACGAGAAGGTGTGTGTGTGCGATTGCAGTGCATACAAAATAACACAAAAAGGGGGCCGCCAACGCACAGGGGGGCCTGCAAATCTGGCTTTATTCAAAACATGGATGGTATAATGCCTCTGCCCGTTAGTCAGACTCTCTGCAGATTGTGAAACATTATTTTAGCATAATTAAAAAAAGACACTTTTACAAAAAAAAAAACAAAAAACAAAAAACAACAACCTGTAAAAATGATTTTGAGCTACCTGAGTACCTACCATACCTTTAACCGGCCAGTTTTCCAATGCATTGTAAATTTCCCTTATACAGTGGGTTATGAAAATTTGAAGACCTTTTCCCTTAAATTATCTCCGCTTTTAACTTCATTTAAAAAAGACTTTTGTCTCAAGATGATGATGATGATTTTATGATGTGTTCAACACCCTAGGATTAAAAACCTGATATGCAAGTAATTGGGATACAAATATTAAAAACAACAACGACAAAATATAACATTTGCAAATATTAATATAAAAAGCACAACAAGATGCAGTAAAACAATTACAAGGCTTGATTTTTTTTTATTCTGTAGAAAAATGTTTGTGCAAATTCAGTAATTCAACTGAAGAGATAATTTTACAGCTATGTTCAATAAAGCCTCTTTCCAGGTAAGGTATGCTAAGTGGTATGCGTGTTTGTTGCACTGTGTGCACTTATTCACGAAAAGGTGTAAGCGAGAGTTGCTTTCTTGTGTCGTAATCTGTCACTGTCTGAATCCATAATACTACATGGTGTCAAGTATCAGGGGGTAGCCGTGTTAGTCTGTATCCACAAAAAGAACAAGGAGTCCGGGGGCACCTTAAAGACTAACAGATTTATTTGGGCATAAGCGTTCGTGGGTAAAAAGCCACTTGATAATGCCTGCATCTGTAATTTTCACTCCATGCATCTGATGAAGTGGGTTTTTTACCCAGGAACGCTTATGCCCAAATAAATCTGTTAGTCTTTAAGGTGCCCCCGGACTCCTTGTTGTTTTCATAATACTACATGACGTTTAGGGACAGGGATTTTCCAAGGGTACTGCCAACTATCTACTTGTAAGTGATTTCACTTGTTTGTAATATGCTAGTCCTATGGGAGTGCCTGAGTGGGAGTCCACTTGGAAATCAAGTAGGAGTTTTGAGCATGGATTGACATGTGGTTGGGGCCTTTTATGCTTTTTCAATAAAAGACATTTCCAGCTAGCAAGCATCAGCATTAATTAAGGATGGGAGAACAATAAGAACTTGCACCTGGTATCTTTTGAGGTTCAGAACAGTTCTGATAATGTTAAGAACAAAATGTTCACATACGTCTCCCCTTTCTGGTTTCATCTAGAAGTCAAAGTAGTGACATATCACCGGAGAGGATTTTTCTCTCCATATTTTTGGCATGGCTGTCTTTGGAGAGAACCTGCCTTGCAAGATTTCCAACCCTGTTTCCAGAAACATTATTTCAAGCCCATCTGAACCTTTTGCAGTTCCCCCATCATTAATGTTTAGGTACTGTATGTCAGCTGCCATCGTGAAAGCAATACGACTCACATTTGGACATTTTTCAGTCTGAGCACCAGCTTCAGTGGTCCTCTCATCAGAGAGGTCGCAAACACTTCCCAGGGCTGTCCATGAAGACTGCCAGCAGAGGGACCAGAAACTTGGCTGGTATTTCAGCTAGTACAAAGGGAGCTATCCATATTCATATCAGCTGAGGATCTGGCATGTTGTTTTCTGGTTTATCCTTCACACTAGATTGCTGTCAATCCTTTTGCTGTTTTGTTTTATAAAATCCAGACTGTTTTGCTCTCTGTAGATTGACTGTGCTCCTTTAAAAGTAAAACATGAGCCCTTCCCTTTATGTTTGCTACTTTTCCTCTAATTCATGACTGCTAAAACCAGACCAAAATACAACTGAAATCTGGAGGCCTGTTCTTCAGCACAGGAAAGCAGAAGTATCCTGGAAGCTGCTCCTAGCATCGTACACTAAGCAGTCATAGCGTTGTGTGAACAGCAGCAGTCCGTGACGTTGGCTGTCGTAAGTAGTGAGAATAATGCGGAGAGAGAATTTGGAGAGGCTCTTAAAATGCCCATTCACATTCAAACGGTTTTGATCAAGATAGTTGGCAAAAAATGAGGGGTTTTTCTTTGTTGGGATTGTAAAGCAAAAATACAAACAGATTTGCACCTGCCAATTTTAAAATGCATTGAATGTTTATTAAAATGTTCTGGTTTAACAGCCCCAGACACCAAAGTCCTCTTGGTAGTTCCAGTGCAGTGTAAATACAAACTAAGTCACCTTCCCCGCACTACCCTACACCTTTGTCTTAGCTTTGACCTGCAGAGGTCAACTCTTGGGGTGAGAGGATTTTCAATCCTTGCTTCTGGTCTGGGCGCAAAAGAGAACACCAGTTAGTGCGGATCTTCTTGTTCATTATTTACTTGAGAATAGACTGGACTTGTATTTGTGTTTCCAGTAAGCCACTGGAAAACCAACGAGATGGCAAAGACGTTGGGTTATTGTGCAGACGCAGGATACGCCTGAAGTGGGGGCTGAGCAGTGAAAGGTGCTGTATCTGATTACCCAATTTCCTGAGCCATCTAATCCTGTTTCTGGTGTATTTTTAAATGACTCATGAAAATGAATTGTACAAATGTCAACTCTGCAAAAATGTCAGTTCATATGTAATGTTTCTATTAAAGAAAAATGGAGGAAGGTGGGGAGCAAAGTTTGGATAATAAACTCCCCTTGACTTCAGTGAGAATGGCTACAAGAGCGTGTCCTGACTGAGCCTTCTTAGCATTCACCATTCGCTTTCTCCTTTTATACCCAGCAATGGCACCATAACCTGCATCTTTTCTAAAAAGCGTAGTTTGAACATGAAATCCTAAATAAAATGATCAAGTTATTTGATCTCACTATGCCAGCCCAGCTCTTCCCCTGCAGGCAGCTTTATCCAGGGACACCCGCTTTTCTCATGGGGAAACAAAAGAACATAGGCTAAGTAGGGGCAAATTACTGCAGAATAAATTGCAAATACACTGCATCTCGCTACCTACAAAATTGACTCAAGCCAGCTAAATTAATTAGACTCTAAAGGCATGGAACTGCTCCTCATTAGAGCAGGTCGAAGAGACTGTGTGTAGTGGGATAAAAATAGAAAATTTAGCTACCCTATGGTTAGAGGATAGGTTCTTTGCATTCAACCCGCTTTATATCAACCAAGCCTTTTTCAGAACAATTTTCAAATGCATATAAATCTGAAACCCACAATAATGCTCAAGCACAGAGGTCTCTCTCCTGAAATGTCCATTAGAGACCTTGGAAGAGGAACTGCTTGGTCAGCTGGATGTAAATTAAACTGCAGCTGAAAGTCCTCAAGCCATTAACGGGGCTTCTTACAGCCTTCCATGTACACATGCAATTTCCCTCTCGCAACTCGATGGGCTTCTGTCACCACTTTGTTTCACCAGCCTTCCTCCAGTGAGTCCATTTGATTTGTAACAGAGTTGGTTAATCAAAATTCCATACTCTATAAGCACCACCTATCAGCTAAAGCATTGCCTCATTCCTCACATTAAGGCCTTGTCTCTGCTACACAGTTCTGTGGACAAAAGTCAGGTTTGTCTGATGAAACCATGGTGATGTACACACAACAATGCTCCTCCTGCTGGTTTAACTCCCGTGCTACACCACCAACATAATAAAACCACCGTGATGAGCAGCAGAGAGCTTTTGGCGTCAAAGTTAGAGTGACGCACTGTCAGTGTAGATGCGGTTCTTGCTTACGTTGCGCTGCGTGGCATCCAGGAGGTTTCCCACAATGCCTATCATGACCACTCTGGTAAGCAGTTTCTACTCTATTTCCCTGCAGCCAGGTACACAGGCATGCACCCCTCCCACTTTAAAGCCCTGGGAATTTTTGAAATTCCACTTCCTGTTTGCTATGTGAGCTTTCTGCAGCAAATGCCCTCCCACCTGGAGCACGCCGGAGTTCTTGGATCTGCTGGGTCTGTGGAGAGAGGAGACTGTGCAGTTGCAGTTCCAATCCAGCTGTAGGAACTTTCACACCTACAAGCAGATTGCTCATGGCATCAGTGAGGAGGAGCACAAAAGGGACAGGCAGCAGTGCCGTGCTAAGATCAAGGAGCTGAAGCAGGCCTACCAGAAAGCAAGGGAGGCCAACTGTCACTCTGGTGAGGCACCAAAAACATGCTGCTTCTACAAGGAGCTTCATGCCATCCTCGGCAGCGACCCCACCTCCACCACCAAGAGTCCCATGGATACTTCACAGGGGCTGGAGGCAGCGGCCAGCAGAGTCAACCCCAAGGATGAAATGGTGAATGAGGAGGTCGAGTTGAAGGAGGATGTAGGACAGGCGACATTCTCGTTGGGTGGCATGCTGAGCCAGGACCTTGACTTCAGCGGGGTCTATCCAGCCCCGGCATTCCGGCTCTGGCGTGCCTGAAGCAGAAGATGGGAGTGCTGATTAGTACCCATTTTGCTTTAATCCTGCACGGTTACATGAGGTAGCTGTTACATGAGGTGTCCTTTAGTATGTTATATGGTGTATGTGGGAGAAGGGATTGTTCGCCTGCTCAGTGGGGGGCCCTGCAGAAAAGTTTGCTCATGCACACCAAGATCTCCTGGGAATCCTCCATAGAGATCTGTAGGAAACTTTTCTGCAGATACTCTGCAAGCCCTCTGCTGAAGGTTCCTTGGCAGAGCTGCTTTGTTTCTTCCCCCATGGTAGGAAACTTTGCCACCCCAATTGGCAATTACTTCTGGAAGAACTGAAGCAGCATATGGACCAGGTCTGAAGCATGCAGGAGATGCACCCTTGCATCCTCGATTACTCACAGTAGTGAGATATTAGCTTAGATCACCCCCGCCTGTGGAAAACAGTCCCCTTCTGAAATCACCCAGACCCTTTGTCCCATCTTGCACAGCTCTTCTGCCCCCCCCAGTCCAAACTCAGCATGTTTAGTGCTCTGGCCAAGCTGCATGCTTGCCAAGGGAAAGTGAGAAAGAGGTGTATGTAACTTTTATTATTCAAACCTGTGAGTGCACCCACAATACTGACTCTGTGAATTGTTTCTTTTACTTCTGCAGATGTGCCCCTGAAGGCCAGGCTCCAGCAAACCAGCAGAGCGCCTCCGTCAGATAAGGAGATGAACGAGGAGGAGTCAGGAGGGCACATTTTGTGAAGTGCTGCAATCCTCAGATCAGGCCAATAGTGAGCACAGAACTCAGAGAGAGAATAAATGAAAAACTAGAAATGGATAGCTAGGAGAGGAGACTGGGCCAGGGGCTCATCATAGAGGGTCAGAACCAGGTGATAAAGCTCATGGAGGACCAAACAGAGATGCTGAGGTCCCTAACTGCACAGCTGGCAGAACACGTGCATGCTCGACTCCCCCTGCAGCCCATGCCCCTTTGCCTTCCTTGCCCTCCCCAAACACATTCCTGACCCATTGCGGTGCTCCTTGCACTCCACCTCTGGGGCCATTTTCCATAACAACAGCTGGACTTACAGCTGTGAGATCCTCACTTCAGAGAGTGCTGCTCACTGTCATGTCCCTCGTAAGAAATGTTAATCTGTGTATTGCTGTTTAATAAAAATTTAGTCTTACCAAGACAGTG